AATTCAAATAGCTTTTTTGTTTTATACTCATTTTTATAGTTTAAAATATCACAATCCAAAACAAATAAACTGTTTTTACTTAAGGTTAAGTGTCAAATTTGAGAGATTAATGCATTTTGCTAAACCAGAAACTAAGCCTGATGCACCTTCATCACGAAATGAATTGTAACTTTTTAAATATTGAAGAAAAAATATATCATTAAATAGTTAATTAGAAGGAAAAAATGAAGAAAAAATATGAAATAATAAGATTAATTAATAATAATAGCAAATGTTTAATATAAATGATAAGCTTAATTAAAAAAAAAAAACAAAAAAAAGCAAGCACGATAAAAAGAAAAAGAAAAAGAGTTTTATTGTTTTTAATTAGTTTTTATGCAGTATTTTCATTTAAAGTGACTCGCGCTAATTTAGAAAAATTTGATTCATTGTTTTTAAAATATCAGCTAAATATGCATTTTTGATAAAAAAGAGTTACTTAAAAAGAAAACACTGTAATTTAAAATATCACAATCCAAATCAAATAAACTGTTTTTACCAAAGTTAAAGTGTCAAATTTGAGAGATTAATGCATTTTGCTAAACCAGAACCTAGGCCTGATGCTCCTTCATCACCAATTTAATTGTTACTTTTTAAATATTGAAGAATAAATATATCATTAAATAGTTAATTAGAAGGAAAAAATGAAGAAAAAATATGAAATAATAAGATTAATTAATAATAATAGCAAAAGTTTAATATAAATGATGAGCTTAATTAACAAAAAAAAAACAAAAAAAAACAAGCACGATAAAAAGAAAAAGAAAAAAGAATTTTAGATTTTTAATTAGTTTTTATAATTAAAATTATCACAATCCAAAACAAATAAACTGTTTTTACGAAAGGTAAAGTGTCAAATTAGAGAGATTAATGCAATTTGCTAAACCAGAACCTAAGCCTGATGCACCCATTGCACCAATTTAATTTTCACTTTTTAAATATTGAAGAATACATATATCATTAAATAGTTAATTAGAAGGAAAAAATGAAGAAAAAATATTAAATAATAAGATTAATTAATAATAATAGCAAAAGTTTAATATAAATGATGAGCTTAATTAACAAAAAAAAAACAAAAAAAAGCAAGCACAATAAAAAGAAAAAGAAAAAATCCAAAACAAATAAACTGTTTTTACTAAAGGTAAAGTGTCAAATTTGAGAGATTAATGCATTTTGCTAAACCAGAACCTAGGCCTGATGCACCTTCATCACCAATTTAATTGTTACTTTTTAAATATTGAAGAATAAATATATCATTAAATAGTTAATTAGAAGGAAAAAATGAAGAAAAAATATGAAATAATAGGATTAATTAATAATAATAGCAAAAGTTTAATATAAATGATGAGCTTAATTAACAAAAAAAAAAAAAAAAAGCATCACGATAATAAGAAAAAGAAAAAAGGGCTTTATTGTTTTTAATTAGTTTTTATAATTAAAATTATCACAATCCAAAACAAATAAACTGTTTTTACCCAAGGTAAAGTGTCAAATTAGAGAGATTAATGCAATTTGCTAAAGAAGAACCTAAGCCTGATGCACCCATTGCACCAATTTAATTTCTACTTTTTAAATATTGAAGTATAAATATATCATTAAATAGTTAATTAGAAGGAAAAAATGAAGAAAAAATATGAAATAATAAGATTAATTAATAATAATAGCAAAAGTTTAATATAAATGATGAGCTTAATTAACAAAAAAAAAAACAAAAAAAAGCAAGCACAATAAAAAGAAAAAGAAAAAATCCAAAACAAATAAACTGTTTTTACGAAAGGTAAAGTGTCAAATTTGAGAGATTAATGCATTTTGCTAAACCAGAACCTAGGCCTGATGCACCCATTGCACCAATTTTATTTCTACTTTTTAAATATTGAAGAATAAATATATCATTAAATAGTTAATTAGAAGGAAAAAATGAAGAAAAAATATTAAATAATAAGATTAATTAATAATAATAGCAAAAGTTTAATATAAATGATGAGCTTAATTAACAAAAAAAAACAACAAGATAATAAGAAAAGGAAAAAAGGGCTTTATTGTTTTTAATTAGTTTTTATAATTAAAATTATCACAATCCAAAACAAATAAACAGTTTTTACTAAAGTTCAAGTGTCAAATTTGAGAGATTAATGCATTTTGCTAAACCAGAACCTAGGCCTGATGCTCCTTGATTATTAATTTAATTGTTACTTTTTAAATATTGAAGAATAAATATATCATTAAATAGTTAATTAGAAGGAAAAAATGAAGAAAAAATATGAAATAATAAGATTAATTAATAATAATAACAAAAGTTTAATATAAATGATGAGCTTAATTAACAAAAAAAAACAACAAGATAATAAGAAAAAGAAAAAAGGGCTTTATTGTTTTTAATTAGTTTTTATAATTAAAATTATCACAATCAAAAACAAATAAACTGTTTTTACCCAA